ACTATTCGTTGGTAAAAGAGTAGCCCAAGAGTTGGCGGTGGGTGGTGATGACTAGCTGCCTTCCCTCTAGTCTTACACTGCTAAATTAGGGACGGCTAGCGCAGATAGCCCTCGTGTAGCTTTGCGCGAAATTCCAAAAAACAAACAAACAAACAAGTATCGCAAAGTTATATTCTGAAAGAATAAACCAGTTTTATTTAAGAAAGGACTTGTGTCGCTAAAGTTTCGTCGGAACGAATTTACGGAAAATTAACTAACGAACGGAGACGTAACAATATATTAAAAAAATAATGGTATAAGCAAATATAATCTGATCACAAAAATCGCAACTTATATATATTTAGAAAAGAACAAAATAGAAACAAATTAAACTAAAACTAATTACTATGTCGTTACCTACTTATAGGTACATAATAGTCACAGTTTACACGCATTACAAATAGTAGGCCTAACTACCATAACTTAGGCCATTTTGTTAAAAGGAAAGGTGTTGTTGTAAAAAAAGTTTAAAGTATGAAACTAATATAAATTGATAGTATTTGTCTCACTTTATTATATACATAAAACTTATTCATGAAGTACTTATACTAATCTATTTAGCATTTATTGAAAACATATAACCAACAAGGTGAAGTTACGTTTACTTTATAATTATTATTCCTTACTGTAAGTAAAAAGTACAACACTTATCGTGCATTAGTAATTTCGCCAAAGGATCAAATACTTATCTTCAAGAACAATAACTTCAATAAAGCCAAAAGAAAAAATTCAAGAAAACACATCAAATTAATTCATTACCTTTCTGTGTGTTATAAATAGCAGATTATTTAAATCGAAATCGTCACTAACCCTTGTTGGTAAATATCGCCTTGAAAAGAGCACTAATTTCTTTTGCTTCAGTACTTCAGAGACAAATAACCTGGCTCAACGGGAACTGGATTGCGCGAAAGAAAATAATTCAAGTTTCAAATGATATATATATACACACAAACATACATACACACACACACACACAAATGGTAACAAAACTTACGTCAAAAGCAAATTTAAAATCTCAATATTTTAATTTTATTTCGTGAAGAAAATTATTGGAAAAAATTAAAAATCGATGTCGCACATTTTATCCGGGCCATACCCAATATACACGGACAAGAAAGGTTAAACTAAGTCTAATATGCCAAGGCGTATTTTAGAGAAATACCGTCTCTGACCATTGACAAGACACAGACCGATAGAAAGAGAAGTTTTCGCTTGCGTATTATATCAGTTTTTTTTCATATCTATAACCAATATCGTTATTCAGTTATCAGAAGTTGCACTGTTGGGATATCGTTTTCTCTCTGTATTCCACAGATTTCGAACTGTTTTTTACTACATAATGCCAGCCTCTAGATATAAAATTTGCTAATTAAGAATACATGGAATGTAGCGTTGGAAATGTAATTCGTTATGCTACGTAAGCTAATGTTCTGTGAAGTTCATTTACTGCTTATGGCTTATTATCGTGGACACGATTATGCAGAATTGGGTTATCAGCAAGTGGATATTGTTATGATATAAAAGACTGTTTAGCGTAGGTAGTATTAATTAATTATTTTGCGAGTTAATATTTCATGATTGTTGTTTTTTATAATAAGAGAGTTAAAAGCAGACAATTATTGGAAGTTGTGTTTATAATTCATTGATGTTGAGGCTATCGAACGTCGCGTGAAATTTAATGATGTCCAGGATATAGAGATTTCTAGAAGGCAAGCAGACGATTAAGTGGCAAATATATAAATAGTATGAGACGAGCGGGAACAGCAGACAGACAGAGCGGACGAGAAAGTAAAGTCACGGGAAGTAGAAGTTAGGCTAAGGAAAGTTAAACGTAAAGTTAACTGCCATAGGAGTGAAAGGCCTAATGGTTAATATAGGCCTAACGATTAATATGGTAGAGGAAACTAAAAGCTTTAAAAGAGATAAGAAGTATAGTTTATTCCAGCAAAGCGAGTTCTAAAGTACTTGAGCCAGCCTGAGTGCACTTTGACAAAAGGAACAGACGATATCTGAAGTAAGAGGACCAGACGATTACTAGAAGAGCAGTATACGGCTGTGGTAAATCATGCTATATTTTTTAAGTGAATTATACACGGAATAGTAGTGCGACAGAAATAGTAAAAAGTAGTTTGGCTTGTCAACTGAGATTCTAAAGCAACCGAATAGGCCTAAGTGGACCTTTGACAACACGAAGAGAACTATACAAAGTGTTTATGATATGCTTATGATCTCTATAGTACAATTTGTTGTACATACATTTAACTAGTTCGAATATATACATATATATATATATACATTATTTTGAAAACAAGTGGAGTGCATGCTGTTCGTTTATTTTTAATTTATCTCCAACAACTCACAGACACCTACTGTAGAAGAATCCTTAGCCCAACACACATATTATTCAACCTACTTACTAAATACTACTACTATATATAATATTAAGGAGAATAATAGTGAATTTGGAAGTTTTCAAAATAATAATACGATATTCTGAGGTTACTGAATGTGCTGCTATCAATCGGCGGATAAAGGAACTATGAGAAAAATATATCCACGTGAACACCAGCACACAAGCATGTTTTGTAAGGTGTCGGTAAATTACTACAGTCAAACTCAGTTCTAGCATCACTTATAATTTTGGACCAATTTTGCTCAATGCATTGATTTTCTCTCGGGTTTTCCAAATCGTATGCAACATTGTGTTTACTAAATCAAATTATCGGTACACCACTTTTTTCTTGCCGTTTTCAATTTCTCTTATCA